AAAAGACATGTTAGTCTAAATTACAGAAAAAGGAAACAGAGTATGGATCATTATTTATAAGAGATGGTCACTAAAGAAATGTCTGAAAAATTTACTTTAAGAATAAGGAAACTAATTCCAGAAGGAAAAATGACAGGCAAGCATGCGAGAAAAATCTAAACAAATATCATTCAAAACAAAAATTAGGATGCTTTATATTAGAGATTCTTAATGAGAGAAACTCTTGAACATGTATACCAAGAAACATTTGCAAAAATGCTCAGAATGGCTTTTTGAGTAGTAGCCAAGAATATAGAAAAAAATACTTAGTACTCATTGACAACAAAACGTATAAATTAATTTTGCCATATTCATGCATTAGCTATTAGCAGCGAAAATGAATAAACTGCAGCTATTTGCATCAACATGAATGAAGTTAAAGAAGGTAATACTGAGTCAGAAAAGCAGATTTCATGCTGGGTGTGGTGACTCATGCCTGTAATCCCAGTGCTTTGGGAGGCTGAGGTGGGCGAATCACTTGAGGTCAGGTGTTTGAGACCAGCCTGGCCAACATGGTGGAATGCTGTCTCTACTAAAAATACAAAAAATTAGCTGGGCCTGGCGGCGTGCACCTGTAATCCCAGCTACTGGGGAGAATCCCTTGAACCCAGGAGGCGGAGGTTGCAGTGAGCCGAGATTGCGCCACTGCACTCTAGCCTGGCCTGGGCGACAGAGTAAGACTCTGTCTCAAAAATTAAATAAATAAATAAATAAAATTTTAAAAAAAAAAAGATTTCAGAGAACATTCATTTTATCCTATTCTTATAGAGTTTAAAAATAGACAAAACATAATTATACACTAACTCATTCAGGCTTACATATATGTGCAGTGAAGCTAAACTAAAAGGAAGGAATGATAAATAAAAAATTCAGTCACAGAGGCAAAAGTGATTCGTTTAGAAAACACAGGATTTGGCCTGGCGCGTGGCTCACGCCTGTAATCTTAGCACTGTGGGAGGCTGAGGCGGGTGGATCATGAGGTCAGGAGATCCCAGACCATCCTGGCTAACACAGTGAAACACTGTCTCTACTAAAAACACAAAAAAATTAGCCGGGCATGGTGGCAGGCGCCTGTAGTGCCAGCTACTCGTCAGGCTGAGGCAGGAGTATGGCGAGTGAATCCTGGAGGCGGAGCTTGCAGTGAGCCGAGATCGCGCCTCTGCACTCCAGCCTGGGCAACACAGCGAGACTCCGTCTCAAAAAACAAACAAACAAACAAACAAACAGAAAGAAAACACAGGATTCAAACTATTAGCACACCTTTACTTCTTTAGCTAAATGATGGGAAAGGTATTTTATCATTATTGTACTTTTAAATGTATATATTTCACTATACTTTTCTTATATATCTTATAAAAATGTTTGTAGTGGCTGAATAAATGAGGGAATGCTAAGTATCTACTGTTGTAGACATGCTACATATCTGAATATTATAATTTTGATCAGCATAAACAATTTTTCATTCATGTATTCTTTTATGCATGCAAAAGTATTCTTTTGATTCCATAGGTCTATAATCTGATGGTAGAGTAGACTCTGAAAATAGATGGAGCTTATTATTTAGCAGACAGAACAGGTAATAAAAAGATGCTGAAAAACGGAAAATGTTACATACTGATAAATGCTCAGGAAAAAACAAGTAGGATAAAAACAAGTAGGATAAAAACAAATGGCTAGAGAGTGCCTTGGGGAGTATCGCTATTGAGGGGAAGAGTACTTTATATTAGAAGAAAAAAGGAAGTTCCCTCTAAACAGGTGACCCTGGGTGATCTGAAAACACTGGCTATTTAAATCAGAAACTGAGGACAGGACCCTGAACTTATAGTTGCATTTATAGATCCTGAAGTAAGTTGCATTATTTGAGTGTCCTAGTGTCAGCAACCTGTCAGTATTTATTATTCTCTAACAATTTAAGTGCAATCATGGATAACGGGCAATTAAACAAAAAAAGACATGTTAGTCTAAATTACAGAAAAAGGAGTAGACTGACATTTGGAAATCTTGTGTTCTAGGTGGACAAATTATGCAATTTTCTACATCATCAATTCTATCGATTATAAAAGATAGAATTGGATTGGATGATGTCTAAGATTCTTTGAGTGTAAAACTCTAAAAGTGTATGAGGAAATAAAGGCCAATTTGGAGTTTTGTTTTGTTTTTTGTTTTTTTGTTTGTTTGTTTGTTTGATAGATTCTAGCTCTGCTGCTAGGCTGGAGTGCAGTGACGCAGTCTCGGCTCACTGCAACCTACAACTCCAGGGTTCAAGCGATTCTCCTGCCTCAGCCTCCGTCACACCTGGCTAATTTTTGTATTTTTAGTAGGGATTTCGCCATGTTGGCCAGGCTGGTCGCAAACTCCTGACCTGAGGTGATCTGTCCGCCTCAGTCTCCCAAAGTGCTGAGATTATAGACATGAGCCACCATGCCCAGCCGAGGATTTTTTTTTTTTTTTAAAGAAGTTATCATTTAGAGTAAGTAAAATACATATATGGGTGTGTAAGAATTATTCAAACTAGCTTGTGGCAACCTGACAATTATTAAAGCCATTAGTAAATACCAGTGTGCCTGTTCAGATATAAACCAAGTGTTTCTTTAAAATGATAGAATTGTCATTAAAATATTTTACATATTCAAATCAGTGATTATGATATGTGGGTTTCACATGCATGAAGGTGGGGATTCCATTAGATGGTGATTCCATTATATAGACTTTCAGCTTCATAATGGGGTTTTCATTTGAAGCAGTCACAGCCACAAATTAATTTTCTATTAACTGATGATCTCATCAAGAATGAAGCAAAGGCTATTTGGGTTTCCCTGAATTTAGCAGTAGTTTCTCAGACTTTCACAAACCACTGGTTTTAGCACTGAGTTGTAGGAGAGGAAAATGAAAAACAATCTGTTTTTATTTGTAGCATGATTACAATGTCTGATTTTAGATGGAATCTAATAAACTTGGCTACTTTATAATTTTATCAGCCACCTTATCTCATAAAATTAGAAGAAGGCATACTGGGTCAACCTTTCATCAATTTACTAATTATAAGAATAATGTAGCATTCTTTGTTTCCTATTATCTTTGAATATTTTAATGAGATGAAACCTAGCTTTTCAAATGTACTGCTTCTATTGATTGTCAATATTTGACAGGTCAGTTAGAAAATGTTCCAAAGCATCTACACACTAGTTTTTCTCTCTTCCCTTCTATATTGTACTAAGTAGTGGAAACGTTTTTCCTCTATTATTATTTCACTGTATTGAAAAAAATATTTGAAGTTGGAGTTTTTAAGGCTGGTTAGTTGAAACGAACAAATTCTGTAAAATTTCATCTGACTGTAGCTTTAAAACATAAGAGCTTCAATGAGGCCAGGAATAGCTTCCAGGCTACAGATCAACAAATGACATTTTATAATTTTAGTTTTCATAATCCTTTTTTAAATTTGAATATGTATGTATTGTTTTCTCTCAGCACTCTTGTCTAAAGTCAACATCTACTTTGTGTAGATATAGAGGTTAACTTATGTTTAAGCATGACTTCAATTATGAGAATTGAAGTTAGAAGACCACATCTTGGCTATAAGTAATTAACACTCTTTGCATTTTGGGGAAATGAAAAATAATGAGCGATTTGAAGGGTAATAAAGGTATGTGAGGAAAGGTGAAGAGCTAGTCTATTTGCATGTTAATTAAATAGAATAAGGTTAATATTTTATACTATCATTTGTTTCAATAACTATATTTAAGCCCATTCAACCTGTCAGTGAGAGATAATGGGCTTCAAGTTCTGAAATGTAGAATCCTGTACTATTTTTCAAAGTGTTAGTCATTCAATATTTGTTCTGCATAAGGCTTTGGTAAATATAGGGTTTCTTTGTCAAATCAGTTTGGAAATTTCTAAATACTCTTTCATCTCTCAGAGAATTTTAACACACATTCTCAAATGAAGAGCTCTGAGAATTTATGCTAAAGAAAAATCTGTTTAACTTTACTTGACTGACATTTTCCTGCTATCCTTGCATATGGATCTCTTTTTGTTATGAATATTTTTTTTCACATAATGCCTGTTACGTTTCTATAAAACTGGAAACATGAGGAAGCTTTGTGTGGTGATAATAGGATGAGTCTCACTTTTGTTTATAATAACAATAATTAATAGTATCACAAGTGACAATAGCTGACATTTATTAAGCACTTACATGTCAGATACTGTTCTAAGCTCTTTACATACATTAATTTGTTTAGTGCTGGAAGAACTACCATTAATTAGGTATTTTAATTTTCCCTATTTTAAAAATGAGGAAACTGGGCCTCAGAGTCCACAAAATTCACTCCTGTATCTTAAACCCTAACTTTTCAAGGTGTTAGTCTGCTTCTCGGCTAAAATAAGAGACCCATTATGGAACTACATCTCAGTGTCCTCTTCTGCATGTGAAGTTCTGCATTTGTCAGAAGATTATTGAGAAAAATAAAATTTCAACATAAATACTGATGCTGTTTATGGACTGCTTTCTATGAAAATAACAAAAAGTTCTCTCTGAAATGGAACTACACTTAGGACCTGAAATAATTATTTAAATTTTTATGGCCAGGCACGGTGACTCACACCTATAATCCCAGCACTTTGGAAGGCCGAGGCAGATGGATCACCTGAGGTCAGGAGTTCGAGACCAGCCTGGACAACATGGTAAACCGCACGTCTACGAAAAATACAAAAAATTAGCTGGGCGTGGTGGTGGGTGCCTGTAATCCCAGCTACTCCAGAGGCGGAGGCACGGGAATCGCTTGAACCCGGGAGGTTGAGGTAGCAGTGAGCCAAGATTGTGCCATTGTATTCCAGCCTGGGCAACAAGAGCAAAACTCTGTCTCAAAAAAAAAAAAATTATGTTTATTTATGCTAATCTAAGCATATTTTGTAGTCATTTTACATATTTGGGCAAATACAAATAGCATAATTTTTAGATTAAATTTGTCCACAGTTTCATTTTGGAAGAGATGTTTCTGCATGAGACATAACTTTTCTTCTAATGCTGAGATTCTGTGATCAATTAAGCTGATGATGTAATTTAGTTTAATTTTAAAGATTCACCCTGAACATATTGAAGCTAACTACAAAAGATATGCTGTGGAAAACAAACCATTCTTATTTATCTTTTGCGTCCTAAAGCCATGACCTGAAGGAATCCTTCTCTGACTGCCCTTTCCTCCCCATTCTATACCCCTCTCCCACCATCTAATTAGGGTTCCAATAATATTTTTTAGGTAGTTTTTATTTTTTTACAGCAGTTTCTAAAGAGTTCTGATGTATTCTCTGCCCCACCCTCACATAGCCTTCCCCACTATCAACATCTCACACCAGAGTGGTACATTTGCTAAAATCCATGAACCTGTGTTGATAAATCATCACTACCCAAAGTTCATAGCTTACTCTAGGGTTTGCTCTTAGTTTAACACATCCTATGCATTTTGACAAATGTATAATGACATATATCTACCGTAGTACCATATAGAACATTTTCACGACCCTAACATTTTTCTTTGCTTCATTTATTATACTTATTCTTCCTTTTCCTTAATCCTTGAAAATCAGTGACTATCTTTCTTTTGTCTCCAGTTTTGTGTTTTACAGAATGTCGAAAGAGTTAGAATCATTCAGTATGTCATCTTTTCATGTGGGCTTCTTTTACTTAGTAATCTGCATTTAAGGTTCTTTTATGTCTTTTCATGGCCTAATTGTTCTTTTTTTTTTTTTTCTTTTTTTTAGCACCAGATAGTATTCTATTGTCTGCATGTGCCACAGCCTATTTACCCATTCACCTATTGAAGGACATTTTCGTTGTTTTCAAATTTTGGCTATTAAGCTACTATGAATAAAGCTACTATAAGCATCTGTATGCAGGTTTATTGAGGATATAATTATTTAACTCATTTGAGTAAATACCAAGAAGCCCAACTGCTGGATGCTATGGTTAAGAGCATTTTTAGTTTTGTAAGAAACCTCCAAACTGTCTTCAAAAGTGTCTGTACTGTTTTGCCTTCCCACCAGCGATGATGGGATTCCCAATGTGCCGTATCCTCATCAGTTTTTGGAGTTGTCAATGCTTTGGATTTTGGCCATTGTAATAGGTGTATAGTGGCATATCATTGTTTTAATTTATAATTCCCTAATGATATGATGCTGTGCATGTTTTCATATCCTTGTGTGCCATCTGTGTATCTTCTTTGGTGATTTATCTATTCAGGTCTTTGTTTTTAATTGTATTTTTCGTTCTCTGATGATGATTTTTAATATTTATTTGTTTTAGATAACAGTATTTTATCAGGTATACCTTTTGCAAATATTTTCTCCCAGACTGTGACTTATTTTCTCATTCTCTGATAGTGTCTGTAGCAGAGCAAAAGTTTAAATTTTAAGTTTTGCCGAGTAAAAGTTTAAATTTTAATGAAGTCCAGCTTAGCAATTACTTTTTTGATTGTCTTCGGCCATTTGGGCTGCTATAACAAAATACCATACATTTAAAGCTTATAAACTGCTTGTAGCTTGTAAACATATTTTTTACAGTTGGGGAACCCAAGATCAAGGTGCCAGCAGATTCAGTGTCTGGTGAGAATCTCCTTTCTGTTCATAGATGGTACCTTTTAGCTGTGTCCTCACATGGTAGAAAGGGCAAGGCAACTCTCTGGAGCCTGTTTTATAAGGGCACTAATCCAATTCATGAGGGCCCTACTCTCATTATCTCATCATGTCTCAAATGCCCTACTTCCTACTGTCATTACCTTGGGGTTCAGGATTTCAACATATAAAATTTGGGGAGGATACGAACCTTCAGGCCGTAGCAGTGTTACATCTAAAATGTCATTGCCATACCCAAGGACATCTAGATTTTCTCCCGTGTTATCTTCTATGAATTTTACAGATTTATGTTTTATAATAAGTCTGTGATCTATTTTGAGTTAATTTTTGTAATGGGCGTAAGGTCTATGTTTAGACTCTTTTTTTTTTTTTTTCCTTTTTGCATGTTGATGTCCAATTGTTTTAGCATCATTTGTTGAAAAGCCTATCTTTCCTCCACTGTATTGCCGTTGGTCCTTCATTGAAGATCAGTTGACTTACATAAGTCTATTCTGTTCCATTGTCTGTCTATTCTTTCCTTAGTACTTGTGTCTTAAATACTGTAGTTTTATAGTAGTCTTGGAGTCAGGTAGTGCGACTTCTTTGACTTTGTTCTTCTTCAGTATTGTGTTAGCTATACTGGGTCTTTTACTTCTCCATGTACACTTTTGAATTAGTTTATTGATATCCTCAGAATAATGTACTGGGGTTTTCACTGGAATTATCTTGAATCTATAGGTCAAATTTCAAATAAATGATATCTTGACAATATTGAGTCTTTCTATCTATGGATATGGAATATATCTCAATTTACTTAGCTCTTCTGTTTCTTTTATCAGAGATTTGTAGTTTTCCTTATGTAGATCTTGTATATATTTTGTTAGATTCAACAGCATTTAAAAAAATTAAGTCATTTAAGTGCTTCTGAAAAATTTAAACCCACCTTTTCAACTACACTATGGGCTATATGCAATCAAAGCCAATTACAGCGTTATTTACTACTATATATCTAGTGGTGCATGGTAGACATTTAAGAAATATTTGTTAAATGAATGAAATAGTAAATAAATGAATGCCATATATGCTGAGCTATATTATATAGTGAATATTGGAATTGTCTCCCTAATATCCATTCCAGTCCAAATGAATGGTCTAGCCATGTGATAATCAATTACTGCTTGCCAGTGATTTTTTTTTTTTTTCTGAAATGTGTAGAACCACTTTTACCCACAAAATGCTAGGAGAAGTCTACTGGAAGTTTCTGGAAAAAATTTTCTCACTGCTAAAAGAGGGCAAATGAGTTTTTTTTCCTTCTTCCTCAGTCATGTTGCAGAATCTTGATCCAACATCTGGAATTTATGCAGCCATCTTGTTACCAACTCTAGTATGAAGACAACATGAAGAATGAAAGTATAGAAAGATTATTAAAAAGTAAATGTCACACTTAGTTTTGAATAATATATGGTGCTCATGAATCAACCAATCTTGGAGTCTGCTTTTCCTCTGAATGTCATAGTAAGTGAGATCATAAATATCCTAGTTCTTTAAGCTAATTATAGTATTTCTATTATGGGAAAAGTTTAGATATTTTAAAATCTTTTTACTTAGAAAAGTTTTTGTTTGGGTACTACCTAAACTAAAAACAAATATTCCCATTGGTTAGAAGCATAAAGATCCTGACACTCTTTTGTTGATACTAAGATATATCCACCTCCTCACACTCACTTTCAGGAATACACTATGTGCTTTCGTTCTGCCTTAGATAATTTTTGCATAAATATTTTAAATAGATTCTATGACGTAATTAGTAAGTAATTTTGTATATCAAATTGCAATGTATATTTTCTTGAAAAAAAATCCAGAATACAATAGTCATCACCAACTTGAATTATTGACATATAAAAATAATAACCTCAAAATTGACCTCCATTAAAAAAATCCTAAAGTGTTTCAATATCTCCTCAAGCAGGCTTTGTCTTTTTTAGTTATCAAATTTCTTTATACACACACACTCACTCCATATTCTCTGTCTCACAAACACCCCTTTAAATTCCAACAATTATCTTTGGGCTGCCTGCATAACTTTGAAATGAGGGGAATTTGAACTGTGAAGTGGATTAAAAGGTTAATTGCCTAATCTTAGCTTCCTTTCTGAAAAGACTATTTTGATCTATACAGATTTCCTCTCTGGAGGCTAGGAATGTTTTGAAATATAATTAAATAAATCAGTCTTATCTCTAAGATTAACTGCTTTTGCATAATAATTCCAATGTTAGTATTTTGACAACTGATATTTTTTACATAATCGTTTGTGGGGGAAAAAAAGCCTCTGTTTTTATGCTATTACATTTGGAAAATTATAATCTGTAAACTTTGTTTGTATAACAAATATTTTAGAAAATGTCATAAACATTTGCATAACCTTGTATATTTTGCTCTTCAAGATACTCACAGTCTGGAAATAAGTAAACTCATCTGAAAAGTTAGAGATATTTCAGAAAACAATTCTACTTTCTATTTTTATTAAATACTTATGATGACAAAGTGACCCTTCAAAGGTGTTACAGAAATACTTCATTTGAAATGTCTTACATTAAAAAAACCTTTGATAGGTCCCAGTATAATTCTCTAAATTGCTGATGAAAAAATTGGAATTATTATCAGCATACCATTAACATTTAAGCATTGCACATTAAGTAGTATGAATTTGAAGCATTTTATGTCTTAAATTTCCCCAATGTGTTATTGGCTTGCATTTTCACACTTTGCTTACATGATAAAAATAAAGCTACTACTGATTTTACTTGGCTTGGTGTATCCTAAATGATCATACTTTAATGTCTACACATTTGAGTGCTTTCATTGGGTTTCAAGAATATTCAAAATATACTGTTTCTTAGGGATATTGAAACACTGAACTGAAGAAGTGACATTTACAAACTCAAGTATTGATTTCACTCCTGAATAATTTTTAGGAACTTAGAGAAATAGAGAAAAATTTGTACTAGCAGTGTTAGAATTAATGTCCTCATTTGATTAAATTATATTTTCTTTTTACCAATTTCATTGTTAGTTAATGAATTTTAATTCTCCTTCTTTTTCTAAAAGAGTAACCTTCATTAGAAAAGAAATCTGTCTGTGTTTAGACATCTCCGTGAAGAAAATGTCGTGGAAAGAAAAGTACTAAATGAAATTGTCAGGAAGGAAAGAAGAAGAAAGCCAAAATGATTGGGCCACAGGGCTTCAAGGTGGAGAAAAGTGAAACAGTAAAAGAAAAAGCAACTCCATAAGTAGTCAGAGAATAAATGGCACAATGAAAAATGCCTATATTTCTGATGCAGGAAGTTTTCTAGGCCAGGGTGGAATTTATCAGCACATGAGGTGGTGATTAAAGAGAAAGAGCAAATAGAGTTGACTGAGTTAGGCTGGAAATAGTCATTACCTCATGAGAACATTTAATATGGCTTGTCTCTTAAGGCCAATAAACTAACACATGACCTGGCTGACATGAAGCACTGAAGCAAAATGGGTCAATACATCACAGAAAGTCTAAGTAGAAAATTGGAATAGAAATTCATTTCCTATTCCCTTGGTCTTTAAATTTTTTTTGAAATATAAAATCCAAAAGAGTATATTAAGAGTCCAAAGCAATATTTCTCAAACCTACTTATGGATTAGAAACACTTGGAGAGATTGGGAAATATTGATATCCAGGTACCCCAGCATAATTAAATTGCTATCAGGGCATTAGTTTTTTGTTGTTGTTTGCTTTGATTTGTTTTCTAAGCTTCTTAGGTGAGTCTATGGTTCAGTCTGGATTGTAAGTCACTAGTAAAAAGAATGATAATAAAATGAATATGCATATCCCATTATAAGCCTAAAAAATATAAAATTGCCCTTCAAAATCCTCTAGGTTATTTTTAATAGAAGTATCAGCCATTTCTTCCTCTATCCCAAACATACAAGGTATCCATATCCTACATTTTGCATTAGTAATTCCTTGTTTTCCTAATATATATATCTAAATATTTTAACTTTCAGTTTTCCTATCTTTGGCCTTTATATAAATAGAATTATACTTAATGTATTCTTCTGCAATATAATATTTCACCAAAACATTTTTGAGATTAATCTCTTCAATGAATCTAGTTATCATTGATTTTAATTGTTGATTAATATTCTATGAACATAATTCATTTTACAAAACTATCTTGTAGTACCTTCTGTAAATCAAGCCTGAGTTTTTTCTCATATTCAATTGATCATAAAGAAATCTTTGAGAGACTATTCCGGCATTCTCTACAAAGTTTCTCTCTAGAAACTTCACAAGATGCTGGGCCTCTGGAATTTTATGGGGCTTATCTTTTTTCTGGTACTTATTGTCTTCTGAGGTACTTACAAATTCTACCTAACAAGTCCAATTGCTATGATGACAACATCATAGTAAACCAGCATGGAATAAGAAGATGAACAAGTTCTTCATAGGCTGATTATGGCATAGAGTGCGAGAATCGAAAAAGCTTTGGGGCAATGCAGTGAAGACATACTGGGCCTGTAACTGGGGTGTCTGCACACCTACACTGCTGACCACACTGGATATTCCAGAAAGCCTCTTCTTCCTGTAACACTTCACCAGCATCCTGTAGGGAGAAAGCTTAACATTGTGCTCAGTTTAAGGGAGAATATCTGAAAGGAATCTGTTGTTTGTCACAGTGTATATCGTAAAGGGAGCATTTGACTGGGATATTATAAACTGAAAACTGGCAGTGTAGGCATTAAGAAAATAGACAGGATAATTCAGTCAGTTGAGTCAGCCAACTTCTATCATCCACTAGTCTGATGCTAGTGCAATAGGCTCATGCATGAAACAGCAATAGTGTGAGGAATGGTGTTTACATGGGTTCCGCTTCACTAATAGTGCCCCTGTTCAACATTTAACCTGCCAGCGAAAGAGACCAATATTGTACCCCAGTATGGTACTATCATTTGAGGAGACCAACTGGTTACTTGATAGGAAATCGAGTATATCAAATTTCTTACATCCTGGCAGTCAGTTCTTTATCTTGACAGGAACTAACATATATTTCAGATATATGATTGTCTTTCTTGTGGGCAGAGCTTCAGTCATCACCACTCTATGAGGGTTTATAATTGCTTGACCCATTAACAGGATATGTGGTATATCATACCTAGTGCCAAGAGCCTCTCTAATGCACAGGAGTTGCAACGGAGAGCACGTCTTGGGACCACCTACCACACCACCAGAAACTGCTGACCTGATAGAGCAATGGTGTGGTTTTTTGAAGGAGAAGCCAGGGTGCCAGCTTGGAAATGGCACTCTGTAAAGATGGGGCACTATCCTCTGGGAGGTAGCATACATACACTCCGATTAGCAATCATTAAAAAGTGTTCTGTCACCAGTAGTTACAATACAAGAAACCAGAAGGAAGGGCTGGATACAAGAATGACCCCCCTTACTATCACTCTTGGTGATCCACTTGAAGATTTTATATTTTCTGAGCCTGCAACTTTAGGTCTAGAGATTCTTATTCCCAGAGAAGAAACACTTCCACTAGGTGACACAGTAAGGTTCCTGTGACATTTTATGCCATAGTTTCTGCCTGATTACTTTGGGTTTCTCAATCTAAGAGACCAGCAGGCAAGTACAGGAGTCACCATGCTGACAGGGCTAATTGATTCTAATCCTTAGGAGAAGGTAGAGTTTCTGTTGCACACTGAAGGTAGGGAAGAATATATTGGCACCCAAATGATCAAGTTGTGCGTCACTTGATTTCCATGCCCAATATTGAAGGCAAATGGATAAGGGGAGCTGCCGTTGACAGAGAAAGGTATGGAATAAAGGCTGAGTGATAAGTGTTCGGGCCACTTCACTATATAAGCCATCTTTATGAGTAGAAGCATTAGCCAAAGGTGAACTTGAAATAGTTAATAGAGAAGGGAAGGACAAACATCAGCTGAAACTCAAAGAATACCTGCAATACTGAGGGCTGTGAGGTGACCATTAACACTGTGCTTATAAATTAAGACAAGAAAAGAGATCCTAGGCTGGGCGCGGTGGCTCAAGCCTGTAATCTCAGCACTTTGGATGGCTGAGGCGGGCGGATCACCTGAGATCAGGAGTTTGAGACCAGCCTGGCCAACATGGTGAAACCCGTCTCTACTAAAAATACAAAAAAATTAGCCGAGCATGGCGGCGTGCGCCTATAACCCAGCTATTCAGGTTTCAGGGGTGGTGGCGGGGCGACTGAGACAGGAGAATCATACCACTGCACTCCAGCCTGGGTGACAGAGTGAGACTCTATCTCAAAAGAAATATTAAACAAAAAAAAAAAAGAAAAGAAAAGTGATCCTAGAGAAATTGTTCCCAGGTGGGTAATCTTTCATTTTAAAGAATGGATTAAGCACACAGGTGTAAACTATAGTGTAGGCTGTAATGAACCAACCAGATGGCCCACTTATTCCCTCAGCTGTGAGGAATGTTGACTGCAGACAACTCACCGCTAAATCCCTTGCTTGCCATGGCCCTCACCAAAGAGAGATGTTTGGCCCAAATTTATGCCTTCTTCCAGAGGCAGCTGCACTGACAGGTCCATGTAGAGGTAAGAATGCCCAGTTCCTTTGTGTCAGTTTGGGACGTCTCTGAAAGGCCATCCCAGTTCCAGAGTACCTACAGGATTCACTAAGACCTTTTCTTGCAACTGCCTCTCAATTTTAACTTCTTCTGCTCAATCTTAACTTCACTCACTCCTTTACAATGTTGTTTCTGAGAGCCCTCCCTATAAATCTCCTGAATGTAGATCTTTTCATCACAATCTGTTTTCTGGTACACTTGAACAAAGACAATATCCTACAATTTTTACATTCTTGTATGTATGTGTTTTCCCATTATTTTTTTCTTCTTGTGTTTTTAAAACCTGTTTTCTACTTTCTGTTTGCAAATTTGCCCTGTTTTCAGCTGTGTTCAGTCAACTCGTGTCTTCAACTTCTTTATTAACTTCTTAGCTTCACATATTTTCTTTTTTCATATACAGAGTGTTTATTTGGTCATCTTTTATATAGATTTTCATTTCTCTTGTAAATTCTCTAGGCTTTGATCTCTTTTGCCACTTTTCGTCTATTGGTTTTACCATATTAAACATAGGTTTTGAAAGTCCTTGTTTGCAAACTCCAATATCTGGGTCATCTCTCCTCTCCTTTCCTCACGAGTATTGGTCATCTTTTCTTGTCTCCACATTTTTACTAATTTCTTAATGTATGTTGGACGCTGCATGTAATGTAACTCAAGATGATGATGTCATCTTCCTATGTTGGCAAATAGAGAGGCTTGGAGCGGTTCAATCCAATCAGGCATTAATCGAAGTTGGGGCTGGGTTTCAGTTTTAGTAAACTCAATCTGCTTCACCCCTGTTCATGTTTGCTGTGCTCCCCCTCCCATTCATAGTTGTTTGTTTCTGATTCTGATAGATCTTTATCTCCCCAGGTTTGGAAGACTACAGAAAATTCAGCTATGCACCTCAGAGGTCTGAGCCCAACTCTCTCATCTTCTACCTTATATCATTTCAAAATAAGGCAAATTCCACGAAGGTAAGACAAGCAGCATTTTTCAATCAGTCCACTTCCGCAAGAATCTGGAGATTTCACTTTGTCTTTCATACGCCTTTGGCCTAGTTTCCCAGCCTCCTGTATAGCGTCAAACCTTAGCAAATATTCTGTGAGGAAAAGCAGTTGTATATTTGCAGCCCCCTGGGTTTCCAGTTTGTCACACCAGCCCTGCAGAATCACTAAAAGTTAAGCTAGTTTCCCTTTTGCCTAGCTGAGGCTCTCTGGTGGGTCACACCAGATTCTTAGCAAGCACCTAGAATCAGAAAATACCCCCAGGAGAAGGAAAAATAAAAATTGTCATTCACATAAAAGTGTTTCTTCTTTTTGGATTTTTAGTTTGTTGCTTCTGAAGTTCTCTGTGTCTTTAGAAATGTATTTGTAATTTGTCTGGCTTTGTCCAGTTTTGTAGCAAGAGTGATCTGTTTTCCTGACCTATTCTGTCCTAAAACAGAAGTCATTTTGTCATTCGCTTTTAGCTTCATCAAGTATATGTACCATTATTTTTATTGTTTGATAAAGTCAGTGTTTCAATGCTGTATTCATATGTTTGCCATTTTCTATGCTCAAAGTACAAGTTTACATCTTAGCTTTCGTTCTTGGGTCAATGTCCTTGAAGTACAGTCTTTAGAAGTTCCTTTAGCGAGCATTTGTTGGTTGTAATACTCTTAGTAAATGTTTGCATAAAAATGTCTTCAATTCACACCAATTCTTGAAATATGGTCTAATAAACTGAAAGTTATTTTCTGTGTGCACTTTGAAGATTTAATCCAATTTTCCCTTGCCTTCCATTGTTGAGAAGCACAGTATATTGTCAGTCTGAATGTAGGTCCTTCGTTATTGTTCTATTTCTCCTTTGGGCTTTTAATATCTTCCTTGTGTATCTGGTATTCTTCAGTTTCCCTGGATGGGTCTGATGGTAGTTGTTTTTTTTTTTCCCCCCAATTATGCTTGTGATGTATCTGGCTTCCTGAATTTAGTATTGGAGTCTTTTATCAGTTCTGGAAATTTCTGTAATTATGTCTGACTATTCCTTCTCCCTATTTCTCTCTAACTTTCCTGCCAGGATTGCGATTATTTTATTATTTTGTCTTACTATATCTTTTAACATTTTTACTCTCTTGTCTCTCTTCTGCTGCTTTTTATTTTCCCCCAAGCTTCATTGGGGATCGTTTCTTTTGACCTACCTATTAGTTCTCTGTTTATCTCAGTCTATTCTACTGTTAAATCTACTCAAATACTTTGAATTGGATTACGTTTTATCAGTTCTAGATTCGGTTCCATTTCTAATTGTCAATGTTAAATTTTATAAGCAAATTTTAGAACACTTGATTGTTGTACATATTTCTTAAACTTACTTTTGTGTACCTCATATTTTTCTTTTAGTGCCACTTTCTAAATAATATCTTCATGTCTTTCAGTTCATTTATTTTATCTTCAGGATTTAATTGGTGTCTAATCTGGAGTTTCTAGATTCAATTTTGACTTTTTTTTCTAGAAATCACATTTGTTTCTTTATAAATCTGCATGGTAAGTTTATAAATTATCTTATTTCATAATTACAATTTTAATTCAGTAGTAATATAAACATTTTAAACGTACTAATTTTATATTCTCTCTATTATAATCCTAACATTTGTAGCATTTGCATTTCTGCTTGCGTAGTCTGTAGTTTCTGCTTTCTTGCTCATGGTGGCTTGCCAACTTCTGTGTAATTTCTCACATGTCATAATGTGTGATATTATGATCCTTGGACTCTTATCTTTTAGAATATTTGATCCTAGATTTAAAGTTTGCTTCTTGAGAGAGAATTTGTATTTGATTTTGCAAGATACCTAGGGCACTCTAACAATTTGAGGCCACTCTAGTCTTTTTGCATGGGCTTTTTTTTTTTTTTCTCTCATACCTATATGCACTAATTCCAGAATAATATTCATGTGAGAGCAGGTGTTCTTGTTATTTTCTCTTTGTGGGAAAATGTATTCTACCTGGTTCACTTATTATAATAGTCAACATAGATAGACTAACTGCAGTTAAAAATAAACCCCCAAACATCACAGTGGCTTAGGAAAATGAAGGTTTATTTTTCCTCAGCCAAGTCAAATGTGGGTGTCCATCTCCATTTTCTAACTGTACGGTCTGCAACAAGTCACTCCAAAGGGCCAGTCTGGAAATGGAGTACTCATTTCCACTCACATCCTATCGACTAGAATACAATCTTACAAACTGCAAGGGAGGCTGGGAAATGTAGTGTTCCTCTATGCCCAGGAAAGAGAAAGATTGTGATGAACATATATTGTCTATGTCACATCCACTAAGGTTGAAAGTCTTCCAGGTATTCAACATTATTTGGGAGTTTCCATTCTGACCTCCCAAGTTAGAGAGGAATTTTTTTTTTTTTTTTTAATGTTCCATTAAGTCAGGCTTGTGGGCAGATTGAAACAAAACCCTTGGGATGGCTGGGCGCCGTGGCTCATGCTTGTAACCTCAGCACTTTGGGAGGCCAAGGCAGGCAGATCACTTGAGGTTGGGAGTTTGAGACCATCTTGACCAACAAGGAGAAACCCTGTCCCTAATAAAAATACAAAATTAGCCAGGCGTGGTAGCACGTGCCTGTAATCCCAGCTACTCTGGAGGCAGAGGCAGGAGAATTGCTGGAACCCGGGAGGCGGAGGTTGTGGTGAGCCGGAGATCATGCCATTGCACTTCACCCTGGGCAATAACAGCGAAACTCCATCTCAAAAAACAAAAAGCAAACAACAAATGCTTGGGATTGGTAGTTTTGATGATGCTTCTGGGTCGTATGGGTTTGCACTTTCCTGACACTTCTGGCCTCTGAGAATTTCCCTTCTTTTTTTGCAAGCTCATTCAATGATTTTTTTTTTTTTTCAGATTCATGTTTTGTATACTGTTGTTAATTATTCTGCAACAGAGGGTTTCTTATAACAACTAATCTGCAATGTTGATTAAAATGGAAATCAACCTCACTCTCTTTGAGAGATTATTTTGGCCCCAATACTAGCCTTACACTATGGTTTCTCATGTTGAAGAAGAAACTGAAGAAACCGGGTGGTTTCTTCATGGAGAAAGAGTCTGATGTATTAGGACCAACAGATAGTTCTTCCTGTTTCCTGGTAGTACGTACATGCTCTCTCAATTTTATATGTTATATGGGAAAGCCGATGTATTCCCAGACCATTATTTGAACTAAGTTTCCAAGGGGCTGCTGTTATTCAGCTTTCATTTAAACTAGTACTATATCACTTACAGTCTTCCCCAATTTTAAGTTCAATGAGTATTAAAAACCAGAACTATATATTCTTCTATAGTGTTAAACAAATTTCTGTTGTGGAAAATTGATTAAAATTACTTTTGAAAATGTTTGCATACCTTACCATGAGCATCTGATTGAGCTCCATTTTGCATTTTAAACCTAAGTTATTTAATCTAATGTCTTGATAAATCCCTTTAGTTTCTGTTACAATAATTCTAAGAGAGTCTCAGTTTGGAAAAATTCTTTTAACCACAGTTTTCTTTATTTTTTTGTGAACCAATTTCTGCAACTTCACTGTAAGTGTTGCCTGTAGAGTAGAATTACAATTATATATGTCATACATGAGGCAGACTCAACTTTCTTTAAACTTTTTTCATATCTTTCAGCTCTTCAAATGAACACAGTGACATTCTTTGTTAAAAATTGCTTTCTATATTGTTTTCTCTAGATATTTTACTTTTCTTACAGTTGCTAAGAAAAGCCGATTTTCTGAGCTTATTGATTTAAATTTACATATTTTATTCTCAGATTTCAAATTCGTGACATATATACCAATTCTGTAGCCAGTTTGGTTTTGGAGGGTAGTTATTTCTCTTCAAATATTACCATTCTTGAAGTTTTTTCTATTTTAGATCTGCTAGATCATACTTCCTTGTCTCACTCATTTTTTTCCATGACAGTATGGATTGTTGCACAGATGCAGACTGCAGTTTCTCAATGGCACCTACAAGCCAACTTACTAGAGAACATGTGTTAGTGTCTGCACCAACAACGAAATGCTATTCTGTGACCATTGAGTATGTTTTCTCTCTAAGACTATTTTCACTTTATTCATAATTCCAGCAAGGTTCCCAACCTCCAGCATGTAACTCACAGTTATTACAAAGGGGAAAGATTGCCTGCTGAAGATAGATACATTGGCAATAACTAGATATAAAATATATCATCACTTGTTCAGCACAGAGGAAATTAGAGGATCTGAGGAAGGATGATGACATTTGAATTGGAAAAGTCAGGGAGGATCCAACAAGGAGGTTGAAACAGTGTATTATAGTTACCCCATTTTTATACTTTCATATAGCAAGGGAAAATTTTATTCATACATCAAATGCATGGAAAATAACATGACAATTCAAGTAGGTAGAATTTTTTTTTTTTTTTTCTGAGATGAAGTCTTGCTCTGTAGCACAGGCTGTAGTGCAGTGTCATGATCTCATGATCTCGGCTCACTGCAACCTCTGCCTCCCGGGTTCAAGTGATTCTCCTGCCTTGGCCTCCAGAGTTGCTGGGATTACAGGTGTACACCACTGCACCTGGCTAATTTTTTGTATATTTAGTAGAGATGGGGTTTCACCATGTTGGCCAGGCTGGTCTTGAACTCCTGACTTCAGGTAATCCACCTGCCTTGGCCTCTCAAATTGCTAGGATTACAGGTGTGAGCCACCATGCCCAGCCAATATACTATAGTAGATTTTTATATCTTAAGGGAAATCTCATCAGTGAACCTTAATCAGATTTTTGCATCTGAGAAATTTCTATGTATCTAAACTTTTTCAAACAATATATGGAAGTTCTTAGAACTTACCTTTTAACCCCAGGTTAAGTACTTCTGCTTAATATAATAAGCTAGTACCAATGGAATAAGGTCTGCAAGTCTTAAGAAAGGAAAGGTAGCTGGGCGGTGGCTCATGCCTGTAATCCCAGTTCTTTG